CCCCCCCCCCAGAAGATCATCTATATTTTCCTCATCTGTTTCGACTAATTAGGAGGAATGTGCATGTGCATAGAATATTTGCAATTATAAGGTTAACATCTTCCTCGAATACTGAAATAAGTTCAGCTGTTGATAGAGGCTATTATTTTCATCTGTCATTCCTCAACTAAGCAGAATTTTTATAAAATATAAATAGTTACTGATGAAGCATTGTTTATTCAATGATGCAACAATACAGGATAAGACACTATCTCCAAGATGAGATGATTATGAGGATCGGAAATACAAAACAGTTACATATCTATTCCTCAATGATTACATTCCAATTGCATTTGTTCTATCACATTCAGGCCATATACCTCCCAATGTTGCATAAATGCAACATTATTGTAAATAATCAATAATGAGGTATATAAAGACTTATCTACTTAATAAATATTCCAAAATAATAAAAGAAGGTTAAAGCAATTTTTTTCGAGTAATATTCAGTAAAAAAGTATTATGTAATAATTAAATTAAAAATTGAATATTGGTAGCACAACCCATTAATCACTCAGTTTCACAGCACACAAAGTGTCAAAATTTAACAAAGCCACGTTTAGGCTTGGTTATGAATGAAGAGTGCAAAAAATGATCAAATAGCATTTATTCTTAGTGTGATGGTGATACAGAACAAATTTATATTCAATTACTTTTCTAAAAAATACATACATGAAATGTTACATTAACACAATGTTATTGGGTTAAGGAACAATTAATTAAATCTCATCAAGAAGGCAATTTTCTTATCAATTAAACATTTTTCAATATTATTTTGCCTAAATATTAAGAATTAGTTGCAAATTTTAAAAAAATCTCAGAAAGCCTCTATAGGAATAGGGGTTGTTTGGTTTACATTCAGATAAATATTGTATTTTTTGCATTGTATAAATATTGGGTTATTGTTGAAGTTGTTAAGTAAAATTAAAAAGAGAATTTTTGTGAAATTCTGAAGTAGCCATAATGAACTTATTTATTGTGCTACACTTTGCTTTCAATGATTTCCAGTTCCTTTTGATTTTTGGATGTTAGATTATTAATCAGAATATTTTATTTATTAGGTCATACCAGAGGTGAAAATTGTTAGCAATATTCCTGCCATTACAATGGAAGAAGTTGCTCCTGTAGGTACTAGTGATGCTACCCTTTTGGCCCCCGAGGAAGTGAAGGGTATGTTAATTTGTGTAAATTATGTTCCATGATCGATTTTGATGATGACTTTATTAAATGTGTTTGACATTATGAAAACAGTATTAAAAGTGTTGTTATTTGCAGCTAAGGAACGAGGTGATGTTTATGGAAAAGAAGAACGCACAAAAACAGATAAGAAACGCGAAAGACGAAAGAAGAAACAACTTCAGAGTAAGCGACAAAAGGAAAAAGAACAACGAGAGAAAATTGTTCAAAAGCTTAATCCTGGACTTGGCAATAAATATAGTAAGGAGCGAGTCATGGACACTTTGAAGAAAGTAACTAAAGACAGAAATGTTCAACAGGTATGTCTTTTTGGAGATAAAAGTAAACTTAATTATTTTATCATGAAACTATTGTTTATGCTGTTATCTAATGCTATGTATTTTCTTATTTAGTTGGAAGATGAGGGCAAAGACAAAGGCATTCGTTCTTCGACAGCATTTTTCAGCCGCCTTCAAGAAGAAGTGGCTGGTCATATAAAAGGAAAATTAGATGAACCCAAAAAGAAAGAAAAAGAGAAAATTTCTGCAAAGAAAATAAAATTATAAAAACAATTTTGTGGTATATTTTGTAAATATATTATTTTAATAAAACAAATTTATTTCATCATGGGTTTTCAATTCATTCCTCTTGTCTTGTCCGTTTCCTGACACTATTAGGTGGTGTAATTACTGAGGGAATTACAAGATGATACGACGAACAGATCATCATTCCTTTCGTCTAGACAATCAGCCACTAGATAGCAGTACTAGCGACATCTCGTTTTTTTTCTCGTACTTTAACGCAATGCACGGTATACCTAATATGGCTTCCATGTTGCTGTAAACAGAAAGTTTTTGCCTTTTTAGAATCTGTGTTAGGAAGTTGTCATATTTCTGATTTTAAACTTCACGAAATTTAGTGTTGTGTGCTTAATAGCAAAATTAAATTGTGACGTATGAATGTGACTAATGATGTCTGCTGTGACTACTCAAGCTGTGCCAGGTAATTTCGTCTTTGAAAGTCGTCCTTGGCTCTATTGTGGTTTACAATAAAAGGAAATTGGTTTGTGTAACTGAAAAAAGTGTTTTGAGGTTAGAAGATCTCAATAAAGTTATATTTGAGGTTTTGAGCTGTGATATAACCAGTGAATTACATTGAGCGAAGTGAAATTCTTTAATTGGTTGTGGTGTATCTGTCATTTGAATAATCGTAAAGTGTGTTTGAGACTGACTGAAGACTGTCATCAAGACAACGCAGATCGATGTGTAAATGATTTATGATATGTATTAGCTAACTATTCGTAGAAATCTGATGTATTTAACTCAACACATGTGTGGGATGAAATGTGGGCCACACAAGGTACTTTGAATCTCTGTTGCGGTAATTGTGTTTCACAAATCAAAAGTATTAACATTGCGTTGCTCTTTCAGGGACTGACCCCAGCAAGGTCATCCAGAAACGTCGTGCGGGCTCTATAGGGTATGTACCGATGCATGTGTGTAAGTTGCATGACCTGTATTCTAGTAAATGCTCTATATTGCTTGTTTAAGTCTTGGAATGGCGGGTAAAGCGTGAGATCGTCGTATAGCTTGCTGTACCCTTTAATTTAACGCGTCATTTTGCATTAAGAGATTGCTCTCATTGACTTAACCCCCTTACACAAAGATATGGATCATTTGCGCCGTAGTAAATTATATTCAGAGGCACGTGACCAGGTCTATAGCAAATAGTAAAGTGAAAGCAATGACGTGAGCAGCTACCTATGACAGTTAATGAGGAGCGATTGACGGTAAAATGTGACTGTGAAATGTCCGTTACTAATACGTATTGGGAACCGAAAAGACTACGCTATCAAATGGAAAATTTAGAATTTCACAATTAATATGTGTGGTGGCCTCGTTAACTCGGATTTTCTGTTAATAATGGCACTGTACACCACCTGGTGTGTGGGTGCGGGTGACGGGGTTCGCGCCGCAGGGTGTGCTTTGGGAGATGGCTGACAGTAAAGCGCCCTGCGGTATATGAGAGAAGTACACGTGATAGGTACATTTACCGCTAGATGGCGCGGCTGCAGTCTAGTCTGGGAAGGGAGTCTGAGGAGGGTAGGCTCAGAGAGCTCAGAGTAAAATACTCTCTGGGTAGGCTACAGAGAGCTCAGACGGTATCAGAGCATTCACGCGCCTCGCGCGCGGCACTTAAAACTTGGAAGCGCTTTCCCGATATTCGCGCAACAAGGAAGTGACAAGGAAGAGTGGTACCGCGGGCCAGTTAGCGAGGGAGCAGCGATGGTCACGGTCCAGCGGTTATGGGAACCTCCGCTCGCATTGTTCACCCTACCCCCGTAGAGCGCATGCGAAAAGTACCTTCTGCCAGAACATGTTATTTGCATATCACAACGCCAACGCACGATCGTGCCGTGCATTGAATAAGATAGAATGCATTTGACGTACGTTAACCATAATTATATTATGGCAGGGTCGTGGGTGCATGCGGAGTGATGGTTAGTTGTGTTTGTGATTGATGGGCGCGCGCCACCCTTGCCTCCACGTTGGTCTTCGCTCAGTCAAACGCGTGGAAAGGGAGGGGCGTCGCCACCGCCGCTGCGGCCACGGAAATAACACGCGGTTTCGTCGTCGCCCTCTCGCTGCCTCTGGCGAAACAAAAGCCGCCTTCGGCTTCCGCCAGAGATACTTTGTCTCGCGCCCTCTGGCGGCGACCGCGAGAATCACGCTTTAACGAGATGAAGATCGTGACTTCAATTAACATGCCACGTCCCGCGCCGCCGCCATCGCCCCCGTGCCGCCCGCGCCCGCAGCGCGGCCGAGTCACGCGCGGCGCTCGCCCGCGGCGGCGACGACCGCGCGAAACTGCTGGCGGGGGTGGCGGCCGCGACCGACGAGACCGACGAGTTCAAATTCTTTCCACTCGTGGCTCTGCTATTATATTGTAATTGGCGTGGTTTTTGTTGTGGTTTCTTTTATATTAGTACTCTGTCGTCTTTGCTCTGAGTCTGTCATCCACCAATGAAGTTCCCTGTAGGAGCAATAAGGCAATGATTTCTTCTATATTCAAGTTCCCTTACCTTGCGTTAAAAATCATTATGCTATTAAAATTAGAGTTGAAAAGTCGGCAAGGCATTACATCAGCATAGCTCAAACTGTACTAAATGATTTGAAGTTTATTTGACCTGAAGTTTATTTTTTGGGTAGAGAATTAATGTAGCAAATGTACAGCAATCATTGATAGTCTATTAGGTTAGTACCTAGTGTTGATATCAGGGGACCGTAAACAAATTTAGAGCAGTGTAAACGCCGTGTAGTTTGAAACGTACCTAATTGTGGGTTTTATTTTTATTAATCGATTATAGAACCTTGTTATTATTTTTCTTATTTATGGAATGAAGCCATGACCCCACTTACAGGAAACAAAATGGCAATAAATAAGATGAAAGTATTAGAGCCTTAGGCAGTTCAAAAGTAATCTCGAATGTCAGTCGACAAGCACCTGCACTCTTTACCAAAAATGTTTGTGGCATTTACCAACTGATATTTTATAATGTTATTGTTTCATTTAATTTAAAACAAATATTGAATATTCAGTGCATTTCTTTTATTGGAAAAGCGAGAGTAAAGGATTAATGCTGAGTGTTACTCTTCTGTTTATATTTTTTAGTTATACATGAAGTACTGACGACTTGTAGTTGCATTTAGACAATTTTCGTTTGGTATCTTTTCGCGCCAGTTCATTGTCACAGTCCTTGAGAGGTCTCCTGCTATATTGAAATAACCTTGAATATGGTAAAGTGATTCTTCGGCACTGTGTAACCATTAAGATCTAAATGCATCCCAACTTAAATAGCACTCACGGATGGCATACGGGTGAATATGGAGGACTCCGTAGCTGAGATTTTATTTAGTCCGGGATTATATAAAAGAGAATTTCGTGTTGTTCATTTTAAATTTCACGATGTACGTAAATGTTTGTGTACTGTTTAATGCTTACTTTTCAATTTTAAATAATGTCCAATAAAATAATTTTTTATATCGTTTTTGAGCCATTTTGTTTCGTACATGTAATTTTCTGCCCACTGATCAACATACAACACAGATAAGTAGTGTCGCCCACTAGGTACATTACAATTGATATGCGAATCTGCCAACTAGTGACAACCTTGGGTTACAAAGAACTGTGCTGAGAAATTATAAAGCAATTTAACAGAAGAAACACTTTGAAACATATTAAAAATGTATTATTTTATCCTCAAAAACAGCATGTGACGCTTGGGGGGAAATATTCGTGTATTTGAGAACGTTTATTTGAACTTCAGAATCTCTAACCCTTTCTTTTCCTTTGCATTATTGAATTATGAATAAAGGTTCCAATATATTTAGTTAGATGTCTGACGTCATTTGTTGTTTCCCAAGAGATTAATTTATTTATATTATTTTTTTTTTCGGTGAAGTCTTTTTGCCTCGACCCTGCTGATGCAAGAAAAATCTATCAATTAATTTATCACGGAAAATGCTATTCCGAAATTGTATGAACTTCGATGTGTTAATGAGTAGCTTCGATGTTACTGACGTAGACCACAAAGATTTGTGATGGAGTTTGATGGGTGTTGAAGTCATCTGTGTTACTTCTCGCGCAGTATTGTTTGCTGCGTGTAATGTCAATCTGGCGTCATCTTCGCAATGATCATCTCGCCCGCGCAGCGGCTTCCCCGGAGTCGGAGGGACCCAGTCGCACCGTGGGCGTAGACCGCGAGGCGGCTGACGGCGCGCTGTTGGCAAGCCTGACGGCGTGCAGCAGCGCGGGCTCGGGTGGTGGTAGTGGCGGCGGCAGCAGCGGCAGCGGGCGTCGCAGTGTGCGGAGCCGCGCCGCGCCGAGCTGACTCCGCTGCGTGACCCGTCTGCCTTTCGCGGCTTGCTGGCGCTTCGCGATGAGGCGCTGATCAGAGAGGCATTCCAAGCGGGAAACATTTCGTACCCACGCGACATGTATACGTACGCCGCCGCGCCGGGCCGGCGGGCCACCGCCACCACTACGCGCCGCCCCCGCCGCCGCCGGCCTATCTACCCACGCACCCGCAGCTGCCACCCCCGGGGTTGGCCACGCCGCCCGCCGCCGCCGCTGCGGCTGCTGCCCGCGGCCGCGCCGCTGCCCGCCGCCGCGCTGTCGCCGCACGCTGCCGCCGCCGCTGCCAAACGACGGAGGTATTTATTTTTATTGGTTTGATTCGAACCGTGGAGTCAGGGAGTTGTCGGATGCTGTATCTACATTGTTCCCCCCTCCCCCAGTGCCTTATTTCATGAACCAATGGGTTTTGATGTGTTAACAGTGAGTAACAGGTCTTTTGATGACCAACGTCTTTGTTGTCGCTATTACGATACGTGTCGAAAGCCTTGTATTACTAGTCTGAAACTATTGCTTCGACTACAATAAAAAAATTAAAATAAACAACAATACATTGATAACGAAGAATGGGGTTTGAAGATAAAAATTTCTCGCCGTGATACGAAGTGTCTTCTGGAAAAGGTGTGCGTATCGGTCATTTTTTTGTAGTAATGTATCAGAGCGCGTACACTGATTGGTTCTTCCAAGTTGAAGTGTTGGTGTTTTAAGAGCAGCTACAATTCTGTTGTCTGAAAATGTGATTACTAGTGATATGGAGTGAAATGTGTCGACTAAATATTGTTAGATTTTCTGAACAAATAGCCGTATACTTTCATCTTATACCCCGAGATTTTGGAAACACGAAGGGAAACAATAATACTGGTCATATAATGAGAATGCAAACTACCAACGCTACAGAGAAATCTTGTGGAAGTATAATGTAAGTATTAGGGGAGAAAAAAAAAAAAAAAAACTACCGATGAACTTTGTGAACTCCTTCAACCTAAACGTAAAAAGTTTCATGATTGTTGAATGAAAGGCGGAAAGAGAGAAACATCTTGCTTCTCTCTTTCCATATACGCATATATTCAGTATTCAATCATACGCCTAATTCAATTTTCAATATTCAAATCTTCTAGGTGTAGAAAAATTTCTTCTCTAGGTGTAGAAAAACACACATCTGTATTCATTGTCAATTCTTGTGCACTTTTGAATCTTTTATATTTGCTTATTTATCATTTAAAAATAGCCAATACTTTGTATGGCATATGGAGGAAAAGTGCAGTCTATGCACGATTTCTTGGCTCCCGATTCCCAACACTCACTCTTACACTGTATTAAGTTGGATGAAGAATACAGGCCGCAACTCCACAAAATTTGATAAAACGAAATATTCTCCATCATATAATAACTACTTGCAACAGCTACAGATATTGGCTCTTATCTCTTAGAGGTCGGCACTTGAAGGAATCGACTTATTACCCCGAGAACACGGTTAACGTGAATTTGAAATACGATGTATCTTAGTAACTCCCCACAGGGCTTAAGAAACGTGCGCAGATAGCAAAGCTGTATATCCAGAATGAAAAAAAAATAGTCCGTCTCAGCATTTGCTCAATGTAGCAAGGGAGACTGAAGAAGAAGAAAAAGGAAAAACAACAACAACAACAACAAAAAACGTATCAAGATGGCTTACTTCTACGACGTAGCATTTGAGTTGCGATCTCCAAATGTACACCGTGGGGTAACTTTCACAAGCTTGTAGTTGTGCGAGCGTTTGGAAGGGAAGAAAGGGAGCCCCTTTACAGCGGTGCAGGTAGAGCCAAATCGCTTGTCGAGCGGGTCCTCTGGGATTCCCGCGGGGTCTGTTTTGCTCGCCTCGTGTACGGATGCCCTGCAGAGACTGCGTGGATGCAGTTCATGGAGTCTACTGTGATGGGATATTCCTAAATGTCATACTGCGTGAATATGGAGTGTTTTGTCAATGTTAATTTGTCAATTTGTTGTTGTGGCACTTATTAGGGATATTATTGTCCCGAAAGTACCTTTTTTTCGGCATAGTCTAGGGAATATGTCTCGTGACAACTGCCCCTTAGCTTCACCTCCCATCTTCGTTTATCCTCAATTGCGTACATAATCAGTGCTTGATTTTGCTGTACTCTGAAAATGACATGTACATCACGAACTGATCTGAATACAATGTCTCTGGTTTGAGACGATCTATTTTGTTCTAAAATTTGCATTTTTCATAAACCTTCGTATGTGATGGTGTTCCGAACTTTTGATGTTGATTACATGCAATTAATTTTTTTATGAATGACGATGGTCTTACTTTTGACGTTCAAGTATTTTATTGGGAGCACCGCGAGTGATGTATTAACGTGGAGATACTGAACAAAAAACGTTAATATAACGAATGAATCACATACATTGTAAACAATTCATATTGCAAACTGCTTAGAAATTATTTGAAAATGTCTCTTAAGAGGAGTTAACGATTGGATCAAACAACGCGTCATGAATTGATGGGTCGAGAAACCGGCAACCAGCGTGTCCTTATGTGAAGGCGACTCCACTCATTCGGCAATAGCCTAGTAGCGAGCTAATGCCTGCTCAATCACGAGCAGCTAAAATGGCATATCCGATAGAATACGATTAAGGAAGTAAACGAAATATACAATGCTGTAATACTTTGAATTTTGATCTTAGCCTGTAGCTTGTGAAAGATCAGCATTGTTAGATCGAGAATAGTTTGAATATCAGTTCAGAATTTCTGGTTTACTTAAATCAGGGGTTTCAAACTTTTTTTTACCACATTCCATCTGCCAATAACAAAACTTCCCACGCCTCACTTGCGCGATTTTATTTGTTAATGAATAAAACTAGTGTTACATTAAGTAACAAACATTTATTGTTTTTACTCTTTATAATTTAATAATAATTAACAGATAATTATAGTTTTTGACCTATTGTTGAAATGTTAGTTTCTTTTAGGTTTGGTCAAGAAATGTAATACGACTTTCCCTAATTAATATTACAAGTTGAAATTTAAATTACACAGGGGTCAAGAAAAATCAGTGAAAAGGAGCTTGCATTTTTTACCAGATTCCCTATCCTTGGTTGAGTATTAGAAAGTGCACGACCTAAATTTTTATCATTGCCAAGTTTGCCCAGATACTTTGTTTTAATTGCAACAAGTGCTGAAAACGCTTTCTCGCAAATTGCTCAATACTACGAATATTAGTACATAGCAAATAACACACTGAGGATATTCATCGTCATCCATACGCGTGCAAATAAAACCATATTTAATATAAAATTTGTTATACTTTTTTTTTCTTGCTTAGACAGTCTTGAACAATATCCTACGTCACAAATCACACAATGCTACAAGGCTACTCTGACAGTATTTATATCTACCTAGCGCGCCAAGTCTTTGGGAATGTGCTGATGTATCATGGGTTGATGGGTCCCGCTCCCCCATGGCCTTGTCTCTACGCCTCCCTTGGGGGCGCGCTCCCCACATTGGGAATCAACGGCTGAAATTAAGATGTTGTGAAATTGAGATAATGACAAGGGATAGAATCGTTGCGTTAATTGAGTGAAACCGAGAACAGCTATATCAAAGAAGCGAAAGAAAACCGCCGACGCTTCCTCTAAAAACAAAAACAAAAAAGGAACGTTTTCTTTGTTTGATATGGACATTAGTTTACACAAAATGTTAGTAAAGTTGTGGGAGTGTTTCAGATGGCGGTATTGGGTTTGTCTAGAAATACGTCCCTTTTCAGTAATTTCTAACCTCTTAACAAATTTGTATGTGGCTCACGCGAGCTTTCATCATACTTTTGTGACCATATTTCTTTCATTTTTTTAAATTTTATTTTTATTACTATTATTTTTTAAGTTAAAGAATATGCTTTAAAAGCATACTTAACATTTGGATTCCTGTTAGTTTAATTATCGCGAGAGTAAGTAAAGCAAAGTGGGCAGGTAATTGTTTGCACAGGTGTAAGACCGAACAGGCGTGCAGGAGGGTGCAGCACCTGGGTGACAGGACGTGGAAGGCCGCACCGACAGACCGAGGGGCGGGTGCGCAGCCACAGGTGGGCCGCGGCCGCCTCAGGGGCCATCCGATGCTTTCGACCCCACGTCGCCCAAAAGGGGGGGGGGGTCGTATTGCGCTCCGTGTCCGTGCGAACGCCTCATCTGCCCTTCGGGACGCCCATTCCCGCGCATCTCCCGAGGAACTAGTCGCGAAAAGTGGAGCCTCACACTGTTCCAACTGGCCCAAAACCTGACCATAAAGGCAAAATTCAAAGTGCGTAAAGTCAAAGTTTTGAATTATCAAATTTTATTCAAAAGAAATTGGGACATAATACTTCAGCTCCTGGAAGTTATTTCAATTTTTGTATCATCGCGGTCTCGTGTTGTCACATCTGCTCGAATGACTAGAATTTATTGATTAATCGCAACGATATTCGTGAAGTTAGAAAATAAGGTTTAAAAATCTTTTTGTGTTTTTTTTTATATTTCCCAATAGAAGACACATTGACGGTAAGTTAAGTATATTTTTAAGTAAAAGTGTCTTCATGTTTTTATATTTGATACTAGTGAATTTTTACCTTTGAAGCGTTACAACGCTAGTCGTGTATATAATACATTAGATTTTTTGTCTAGTGGACTTTTGCCAAAACCAATTTTTTTATTTATCAGGTAAAATGTCCTTAGTCAGAATAACACACATTTAGATGCTGTAATCTGCACCTTTTTGTTTTATCCCCACTTTACTGCAATGCTACAAAGCAAGATTTAACACTAAATCTCCTGGAGAGGTCTTACACGCCACGTGGTAATTTCTGGGTATATTTTTTTTCCCTATGATTATTTTCAATGTGTGTGTATATATATATATATATATATATATATATATATA